GAACTGATACCAAGTTTGTTAGAAAAATCTTTAAACGGATTTCTTCACATTTTGCTGTTGATTTCAGTGTATATGATCTTCTTATTTGATCTTATCTGTTTATACTGCCTTCTCTTATTACTGTCTTGTAAATATTTTGTACCTTCAGAACACTTTTCTACACATTTGACACTGTAAAAAGATTGTGTCAACGCAATAACTTGCAATAACTACCACAGATATTGTTCTAAATACTTGTTTGCCTTAAGTGCAAGGTACTACGAAAAGCTGTTACTAAAATAGACCTTTGATGGTAATTCTTCTGAACTTTACTATGCCTTTGATGCTAGCAAACCAAGGAATGTGAATGCCTCTTTCTTATCAAGCTATTTTATTAATAAAAAAAAACAACTCTGGTAATGTTGCTTAATGCTTCTTGCTTCAAATGACTTGGTAGACAGGTATGCAGCAGGGGGCCGCTGTCTATCTCCAGCACTATCCCAGAGTCGCTACAGGCTCTGATTAGCTGTTCAAAGATACACACTTCTATAGCCTCGATACATGCTCATGACAGAAGTGGGACAGTTCTCAAACGCTGTGCCTCCGCGGTCGAGATTCGCACATTCTTTTACGTGGGCATGTGTGAAAATTGCATACCGCCGCACGCTGAGATATTTCTGTAGGGTAAATATGCGTCAGGTTCGGCAGTTTCTATTTGTAATAATGTACGCAGTTAGACATAAAAAAGCAGTTTGAGCACCGTTATAGACATTTTTTTTACCAAACCCATACTACTGTTTGAATGTGTTTTACTTAATACTAGGGATGTAAAGATATCCAAGTCTCACGTTACAATATTGTCACAGTATGATATTTATTGCGATATCGTGGAAAAGCTCACGATATTACGATATTATACATAATAACAAGCCTGACATTATAAAATGCTTTGACCAGTCATTTGGTACAACATTTATTGTCATATTCCAGGCATGTAACAATATCCAAATCTCTCGGTATGATATTATGATGATATGCCTCTCACGGTACGATATTTATTGCGATATTTTGAAGAGGCTAATAATGTAAGATGGGACATATTGTGACAGCCCACGATATTACTGTGAGACTTTTGACGATACAATATCAGGATTTTTTGTTACGTCCCTACATTTGCAATACTAAAACAATTAATGGCAGAGGTGGCATCAAGCCATTATTTTGCAAGTCTCAAGTAAGTCTCAAGTCTTTGTCCTCAAGTCTGAGTCAAGTCGAGTCTCGAGTCACTGGCCCATAAATCCAAGACAAGTCAAAGTTGTCTGCTTTGAGCTTCAAGTCATTTTAATTCTTTAGATTTTTGTAGTTTCTACAACTTTTAAGGTAAATTGTATTTAAAAGCTTATGATATATTTGTAAATGAGTATTTATATAACAGTTGTAGAAACAACTTTTTTTTTTTCCTTTTTAAAATCTTGACAAGACTTTAGTGTGAATTATTATAGTCAGAACAGAAAGAATTCAGATTTAAAAGTGCTTAATATGAGTTATTTTGTCATGTACTCTGCACTGAAATTGGAAGGATCATGTTCTTTGTAGTTCCCTCTGTTTTACTGTATTGTACTGTATATTACTGTAGTACATTTGTGGATACCATATCACAGTACTTCAGTTACATCCAAAGTAAACGAAAAGTGGGAGGAACATATTCCAGTTTGTGCCTTTAAAATTTGGCACCACATGTTTCAACTGAAAAGAAAAGTATTTTCTAAAAACAGTTACTTTTTTGGAGAAGCATCGAGTCTTCACAAGGCTCAAGTCCAAGTCAAGGTCCAAGTCATTGACCTTCAAGTCCAAGTGGAGTCCCAAGTCCATTATATCAAGTCAAGTCTCGAGTCCTAAAAATAGTGACTGAAGTCTAACTCCAAGTCACGACTTACAAGTCCCCACCTCTGCTCAACGGTGATGGAAAAATGTATTGATTTTTGTGATTATGATTTGATTAGCATGTTTTAATATTTCAAATCAAGGCACATTTCAAACTAATCCAGAACCAAGGGAAGACTGAAGTATAGACAGTTTAAAAATAAAATAGGAATCTTATACATTTCAGTTCATAGTGATCTGAACTACAGGGTTGGCAAGGTTTATACACAATAAGATCGCAGATGGTCAGTGGTTTTGTTTTTTATACAAAGCTTTTCCACATTCAAGGCATTCAAAGCGCTTTACATCAAGAACCACTCACCCATTCACACACACATTGACACACCAGTATACGCACACACTGGGGGGTAAGTCCAAGGACACAACAAGCTGGGGCTGAAGCTGGAATTGCACCAACGACCTGTGGATCATTGGATCTGACTACTCTACTAATGATGTCGAGAGTGGGATTTGAACCACAGACCTCTGGATCAGCCACTGACACACATTTAGGTCACATATAGACAGAGTATTTTGTTGATTGCAGAAAATATATTATTACGTAAATATTTGGACAATGTGACCATTCAAATTGCAATTTTCAAGTTTATTTGTCAACACGAGATTATAATTTATATGTAACAACACACCTTTGCTAACCACAGGATATTAAAGCTTCTGACTCTTTTAATATTGATTTATTCTTAGCATGGGCAGATCAGTCTTCTTTCCCAGTAGATTTACATGGCAACAGACAATAAGTAGCCACATACCTCATCATTCATTATGTCCAGCACTGCAGCTAATTAGGCCCCACCGCTCCATCACACTCATTTCTTTTACGACGTCCGATGATGAAATTCTAATCTTGTAATACTCAGGCCAACAATTACTGCATATACTTAAGTGTCTGCCCTACGCCTGGACCTAGTGTAGAGCTACGATGCCAAATGTCCAAACTGCAGCTGTCTGGTTTGAAAATCTGATCGTGGATAAAGATTTAGACGCCAGCAATCATCAGAACTTGAGTGAGCGCTCCCCCTGGCTCGCCTACCCCATCACACCATCTGCCAGTTTGGCGTGCTCCAGCCTTGAATGTTCACTTTGTAATCTGCGTTGTTATTTAAAGAGAAATGTTTGACATGCAAAACACTTTTTAATCACACAATGCAGCAGAGTTACGCTATAGAGGATTAGTCTATAAGAGAGCCTAAGAAAGTATGTGGTATTTTCAGATAGCTGTTGAAAAGATCAGAGACAAATCCTTATAGGTGATGCAATTTACACGCATACAATTTAGAAAAGCACATAAGCAGCCAATGACTAAATACAGAATTTTAATAAAATGGTATTAAAAGTTAAATCCTAGGAGTCTTTTTTAAGCTGAATAAATTCCAAGCTCTTCACCCTCCTTCTTTAAGCTCCAAGTGAATGAGCAATCCTAAAGAAGATTGAGAAAAAGAAATGGGTTGGATTATAAGATTTCTGGCGATTTTACAAGGTACACTGTTCTAGAAGTTCGTTTAAGTTTCAGGCAGCATTAGTAAAACAGTGGATTAAGTCAAATAATTAAATAATCAAACATTGGACAGCAGCTTGACATCATATTCCTGTATATATTGAAGTACAAATACCATTCTGTCCACAAAAACACAAATCTAGGTATGTTTCTGATAAGGAAACAACATTATACTTTGTCAAAATTTTGATGAAACTTGGTATATAGGTAAAAATAGCCAGAAAAGCCTAAATTTAGTTTGATTGGACCAACAGTTTCCGAGATATTGCAATTTCATTTTTTCACTTTTTTGCGTGGGTCGCTGAATTTCAAACCGCATTTACTCAGCAACTACTGGGCCGATATCAAAAACTAAGGTATATATGGAAAGCGGAAATCAGGAATCCAATCAGCATCTTTTTTTTTTTGCATTTAAGTACTTTTGAATTACCTTTTGATCTATATTTTGACCTTGAAATTGACAATAATGGACACGCCCAACCTCAATGACACCAGTAGAAAAAATGTAGCCTTATACATCTACTACAACATATACAAAATCTGGGGTTTTCTTTTTTATCCATTCAGTGTATATGGGTATACATTTATACACAGAGAGTCCAAGTTGATATACTCTAAGAAAAATTGTCAATTACACAGTACCAAAAGTCACTGAAAATTTCACAACTGTCTTTTTTTCATGAAATCAGGATATTTACTACTTCAGGACAGGTCATTATGCGAAATGCTGTAGTTTCTTGTCGAAGATTATTGTTGAGTGTTTATCACACAGTGTATGTCTGAATCAGATTTCCAACAAGGATCATCTTTGGATGGCTAGTAGAAGGTCTTGGTTGGTCCATGAGGGTGCATGAACTTTATCTTATAGACACTAAATTCTTCTGAGACCTCCTCCACCAGACCGGGCCTTCGTGTTCATCTTCATCAAATCAGGGGGGTTTGCCTGTTCACTCAGTTTGTGGACATGCATCTGTGTCAGGGAGACAGGGGACAAAACGATGGTACTGTAATGTTCCTTTGATTGTCAGTCATATACACTGAATGGATATTTGGCACGTCTTAAGATGGGAGTAAGTCAACATCTAGGTAAATTTGTGTGAAAATAAAAAAAGAAAACCCCTCCAGATTTGTAGTAGTTGTTGTTGTAGTAGACATATAGAGGTACATTTTTTCTATTGGTGTGATTGAGGTTGGGCGTGTCCTTTATAGTCAATTTCAAGGTTAAAATATAGGTCAAAAGGTAATTAATCTCAAAAGTACTCAAATGCAAAAATAAATGCATAAATGGGATACCTTGGTTTTTCATATCGGACCAGTAGTGGCTGAGTAAATGCAATTTGAAATTCGGCGACCATGCAAAAAAGTGATAAAATGAAATTGTGATATCTCAGAAATCGTTGGTCTGATTATGCTAAAATTTGAGATTTGGCTTTCTTGGCTATGACTTACCCATACACAAATTTTCTTTGTAATTGGACAATGTGAGGGTTCAAATTGTATTTTTTTTTTTTTTGGGATGAATTGAGGTGGAATGACCCATAGATCAGGAAATAGCATATCCCTTTAAGTTGTGACCATATAGCATAATAGAGAGTGAAAAATGGTATTTGCTGATATAAACCTAAAAATGCACCAGTAATCAGAAGATATTCAAGAACAAGAAAATACGAGTAACTAGGTTTTGACGCTTTGTTGCCATGTGATTAGTTTCTCTTATCAAGCATGATATTCAGGTACTGTATACCTAATAATTTGTGCCACCTTGTTCCCATTTCTAAATTACCCCTGATGCTCACAGACATTTCTCTTAGCTCCCAAAAGGTGTTAAGTGAGCTGGAGTGGATGTAAGAAATGGGACCGAAGAGAGAAGTAGGAGGAGGCTGAGTTACTGCACACTAATATTCACTTTAACACATTCAGTGGGTGGCTAACCTGCTTTCCTCGTGCATATCTGCTTTTAGAAGTCATGAGAAGAGCCCAAGAGCAGACTGAAGCCAGGTTTTGCTTTATTTAGCTGCTGGATTTTAGCGTATACCTTTTTCCCTTTTTCTCCTAGGGTGCAGGGAGAACTTTTTAAAAATGCATGCTTATGCCAGGTGGAAAATGTCAAGGCTTAAGAGCAGTTCAGTGTCTTTCGGCACAAACAAAGGCTCTTAGTGCGCGACTTTTTATGACCTTTTTTTGTCCATTTGCTGGTGCAGATTCTTTGGACCAGGGACCAGCACAGGGATCACAAGCTGCAAGACCACCACTGTTTTTTAATTTGAGACTGACCAATTTAGAGGAACAAGCTCAAAACACGTTGTCAAGGTCCTCAAATCACTGGCCATTGAGTACAAAATGGTACACATACAGTAGAAGTGGGACAGGACACATTTCCCACATGGCGAGATGAGACAAGAGACTGACAAGAGAATGAGACAATGAGTTTTTGTGAATCTGAATCTTTTTCTTCTTAAATTTATTATTTATTTAATAATTTTTGCTGCCATTGTAACACTGCTTTTTAGAACCACAGTTTTTCAAAAAGTGTAACTCCTCAGCATGAAGTACTCCTTCTCTTGTCTCCAAATACAAACACATCACAAGAATAAATCTTACAAGATCATTTCCCATGTGACAGTTTTATCTTGAAAGATCTTATCTCATCCCTAACAGATACTCACCAGTGTAGAGAAACAAGCTCAGACTATGCTGTCAAGGTCCTCAAATCATTGCCCAACTTTAATACTTAAAACATGTTCAGACTGAGCTCAAAATGGTTCATCCATAATATAATATAATAAAATGTATCTGTTTTATGTAACGGTGTTGGTTTTCATATTCCTGTCCGGTTTACTCCTCTGCTGGCGGTTTTGCCTGAGCTCCTCTCTGTACTCGTAGTCAATGAGGCTGGAGTCCTGTGAGCAGAGATGTGCGTACACTTCACATAGTGCTCTAAACTGGGGGATCTTGAGTTCTGTGGAGCGCAGAGTGGGGTCTATATCTGCCTTCTGGATCATCTCCTGTGTCAGCTCCACGCGACTCGCCTCTGGGAACAACTTTCTGCAGAGAGAGAAATAATAAAGGAACGTGAAATCATGGCACAGACCGCTGCAATCAGGTGGCTTTGATAGCTTAATGATCATGCAAGTTTAATGGCATTGCATTAAAAAAGGAGAAATTATCCTTCAGCTAGTATTTCACATCTATGCAGTTAATTGAAATCATACAAAGAACTTGAAGTTCTTACGAATTGCAAATTATCCCCTAGTGCCAGACCACATTGTAATGAGAAGATGGGTGAAATCAACACAATTCTAATGGATAATAGTTTTATTTTTAGAGAATACCGGTCAATAATAAGGAAGCATCATCCAGTTAAAGGGTCAATATTACCTTGTTTTCTGATCCATGCTATACTGTTGTTTCCTCATCACACACATACCTGGAGTTGTGTTCTGTTTCATTCACACATGTTTAATACACTAACCCTGCATATTTAGGCTTTAGTTTTATTTTTCAAACAGAAAACACTCTGTTCCACCTTGTGATGTCATGTGATAACACATTAAATGCACCAGTGTGTCTTTAAACTCCATACACCTTCACTACAATCATGTGGATGATTTCAGATCTGGAATTGCTCATTTCAACTGAACAAAAGGCAAAAGGTAGCTTTTAACTTGAAAACTACCACTACATGACATCACAAAATGGAACAGAGCATTTTGAGTTTTGAAGATGTAGCTAGACTAATAATAAAGGGTTATCCAAACATGTGTGAATGAAACAAAACACAACTAATCCCAGGTATGTTTTTAAGGAGGTATTAACATTCTAACATGACTTAAAGAGTAAATTTTGCCAAATATAGGACCTTTAATGCAAAAGAAGTGACAAAGTACGTATCCATTAACGTGGTCCAGTTTCATATTTACAGATTATATACAAATAGTTTTCAAATATAAGCCAATTACTTCTTTACTTGTAAAATATTACCTATAAAGCTGTACTATTAATACAATCAGGTAATACTGGGCTATACTACCTCACCTATCAAAGTGGTAGTAAGTAATAATCACTTCCACCCATGCTGCAGATGCTTTTTAGGGGCATGGTGCCTCCTCTCCAATTTGCTGTCGCCAGAGCTGCCAGCCCACGGCTGTTACATAAAATATGCTGCCTTGTCTTCCTGTGCCACCTCAATGACTCATAATTGGTGCTCTCTTTCACACAGCCAATGTTCTTTTGTAATTCAGGCCCACGTTCTCTCACTACAGAAATGGGCTGATGATCATCTGTGGATGTTTTAGTCCAGCTTCTACTGGTAATGGTGCTAGGAATAACAGCATATATTTGATTAATGAAGTGTTTTGAGAACCAATATACTGGACAAGAAAGACATAATACGTAATTTAATGGCAGTATACGTGCACTGATGTAAAAATGCACTCCTGGTACTATTGGAGTAGCCATTAGTGATGAAATATTGATTATGGGCGACAGTAGCTCAGTTGGTAGAGCGTTTGTCCACTAATCTGAAGGCTGGCGGTTTGAATCCCGCTCTCGACATAAAACATCACCGGTAGAGTTACACATACATACTACCTATATACTTTTTTTCTATCAGTGGACATATTGATGTACTTGATTGGTGTACATGACCATTGTCCTTTGAGTGTCCACTGAAACTTACTCTAGTCCTTTGTAAAAGTGCTTCCGTCTAAACTGAAATACGTTGCGCACGACCTTCTCCACCAACTTGAAGGGCTGCTGGATCTGAGGCTGAACCAGAGGAGTGAAGTGCACTACTCCCACGTCCACCTATACAACACACAGGAGACACAAAGGAAGTAATCCACACAACAGGGGCCAGGTGCAGTACATTACAGTCTATGACAGCTGACCAGGGGCAATACAGACAGATTTGAGATAGAAGTTTAAAATGTTTTGAGAAAGTGAACATTCAAAGACAGAGAAAGTGGGGATAAGCACCAGAGATTATAAGAGCAGAGGAAGAAAACAACATGACGCAGCAGGTCTTGGTTGGTGAGCCACATCCAGTTGCCACAGTAACACCTGTGCGATGGACCATAGAAACTCAGACTCCCTTTTTTGCATCTGTCTGCCGTGCTGTTGTTGTTGCATCACCACATTCTTCACTGTGACTTCACTCTGACGACAAAGAGATCCACTAATAATTTGATTACAAACACGATTACAAGAGGGGCACGGGTTGGCAAAAAAAGGGAACATGTTGTGCTTGATGTGGAAGAACGAAGAAGAAAAATATTACAATTATTAAATTAAAGCCAGAAAATTAAATTCAGATTTATTTTTTATTTTATTCATTTACTTTTTATTTTTTTAAGAATGACTTTAAGACAGATGCTGATTTTTTTAAATCCAGAACAGCAGATGGCAAATAAACTGTGCCAGTGTTTTGGGGTGGATACATAGGGCTTTTCAGTAGGGAGGGACAGGCTCACCAGCCTAATTAACTCATGGAATGTCAGTATGGATTGCACTACTTTACATGAGAAAAGAATAAGACAAAAAACAGTTAGCTATAGCAATGATTTTTAGACATATGCAGCCTTTAATTATTTTGTACTTTTTGACTGCCTCAGCTTTTTCAACTTTGTATTTGAGACTGATCCCTACACTGAAGTAGCCAGGCTGGTGCCGCCTAGGAATCAGAATACACTAGATGGTTTCCAAGAACCCCAGAAGTGGTAGACACGAACCGGCCAATCAGCGAAGAACTGTGAATCTATGAAGTCAAACTCAAGCGCCTGTGTGGGTCCCTTTTGTGGTACAGCACAACAGTAAACAAACGGTCAAGATGGATCAAGACAAAGACATACATTCTGTGTTGGCATCGATTCCCCATATCGAAGATTTAAAGCCGGAATAAAGAGAATGTTTGGTGAATTTTATCAAGAAGAAAGATGTTATTGCACTTCTTCCTATGGGATTTGGCACATTACATACGCCATGACCAAATAGCAGCGATTGGTGAAATAAAAAATGTACCTGCCTACTGCTGAGCGAACAAATCCTAATGCTGCGAGGTCAGACGGTTTCCATCAAGTGAAACCGGCTGATGAATGAGGCCAACACTGACTTTTGCACAATCTATACACATCCAAGTAACACTCCTGCCCCTAAAGTATATGCAGCCTTATTTCACTATACACCTATAAATTAATGTTTAAAGAAGGCTTAGGTTGTGTATTTCCTTTAATCTAGTGGTACTGGCCTATGCTGGGGTTTATTCTCAATAGCCGGCATGCTAAAAAGTGCCAAAACTGTCCCATGCTGATTAATATGTCTCTCTCTAATTTAAAGATCTCCAAGTATAAGGGTAAATGCTCTCTGCTGGAGGCCATGTGTCCTTATATAATCTATGGTAATGAATCCACTGCTACTGAATCATTTGTACTGAGAGAAGCTGGTCTCTCATAATTGGACAGAAACAGAACAAAACTAGAGAAACACTGTTGGATCTTCAAAAACTAATTATTCTGTCCGAGGCTCACGACACCTCTGGAGATTACCATAACAAAAAACGAAAAATACTAAATCTGTATTTTTCGTTTCATTTTTTTCCTGCTCACCTCATTTGAACACAGCCCAGTATTTTCCATATATATTCTGAAGGTCACCTAAGTAAATCCACCGCTCTTCTGATCTCCAAATCTGAATGAAATGAGCTTATGATGGAGTGGAAGGCATCTTCCAGTTCTCCTCGTGTCAGACCTAAGTCAAAATGACACACCATTCAAGTCCTCCTGCCTCTCTCAGCAAAGACAGCTCGAAAGCTCAATCTCAATCACCTCTCTTCTCTTTTTCATACACAAATGCTCTTTCTTCCTATCTCTGGAATAAAATACCTCAAATTTGAATTCTTTGCCAACTATCAAAAAACCAATAGATCCATGAACCCGTGGCAAATGTATGGAGTAAGAAAGCTTTCAGAAATATTCATGTGCATAGTGCAGAAATCTGTGCATATTTGTCTGTAGTTGAACATAAAATAAATATTCATAAACTCTGGAATGAGTCGAGTTGTAAATAAAATGTGTTGTGTGTATTTTATCCATCAGAATAAGAAATGTAAAGTTACAACATCAAGAATTACAATCACAAAAGGAAAATTTACGATTATGCTTTCTTCAGAACGAATACGAATTTACAGACGTGACTCAACTGTCAAAAATACGTCGGTTTTAGTCCTGCTTTAGTCCTGGTGTAGTCCTGGTTTAGTCCGGGTTTATACCTGGTTCAGACCTGGTTCAGTCCTGTTTTAGTTCTCCGGGTTCAGTCCTGGTTTAGTCCTGGTTTAGTCCTGGTTCAGTCCTGGTTTGGTCCTGGTTTGGTCCTGGTTTCTTCTGCTCAATAAATAATGCCTGTGAAGTGATGACATATTTTTGATAGTCGAGTCGCGTCTGTGAATTCGTATTCGTACTGAAGAAAGCATAATCGTAAATTTTCATTTCATGATTGCAATTCTTGATGTTGTAACTTCATTTCTTATTCTGATGGCTAAAACACACACAACACATTTTATCTATGACTGGACTCATTTGAGGGTTTATGAATATTTATTTTATGTTCAACTACAGACAAATATGCACAGATTTCTATCCTATGTGCATGAATATTTCTGAAAGCTTTCTTACTCCATACATATGCCAGTATATAAGCCTCCTGTCTGATTGTTGTGACTGACGCTGACAATGAAGGAAAGTCAGTGTCACTCAAAGTAATCACTTTTGTATTGTAAACGCTTTTTAAACAGAGGGCAATATTCTTTTCTTCTTTGTCTGCAGTCTGCTTGAAAAACAGGAAAACAAGAAAGTCTAACTGTAGTCTGAAAGAAGCACGGAGGCGTGTAATTACAAATGTGACTCAAGGTGATGCAGCGAAGACTGTACAAAAAGAAAGCCTAACTTCAGAGCATTGGGGAGGTTTAGGACAAAATTCTGCTTTTCATAAAATGTGACAAAAACTATCAAAGATCATTATAGTAAATTGTCACCTACTCAAACAAGCAATTGATTGATCATGTACAAAGCTTCACAAAATGTACCCTGAACTACAAGATCTTGGTAACTTGAGTCAAAGTCTGGGCACTACTGAAGCCTACAACACTATTATAAAAATGAGGGACTTCCGGTTAAAGGTTTTCTATGGCAAAATATCTGTGGAAATGTCTTCCATATTTTCCAGCAGCTTCATAAATCTGCCCCATCACCAAATCATCATCCAACACTGTCAACAAAGGACATATTCTGTCCATGAAGAATTTATCCACAACCATCATGGTAAGAAAGACAAAAATGTAAAGGCAAACAATGACAACGCATTAGTGAACTACTCCTGAGCAAAACTAATGTTATGGTCATGAATAAAACATAAGTAATAAGTCATTCATTAATAATTAACTTGTGAACTCAGACTAAGTCTAAAATGAAAATTAAAAATTGATTTCATGATGTAGATATCAGCATAGACAGAGATTTGTGCAGTTCGAATGCTACAGATTACATGTCTAGTAAGGATGTAACAATAACTGAAATATCATGACCCTGTATCGTCAAATCAGTCTGAGTTAACAAGTTACCTCTATTTTATCCATGACCATAATGTTAGTTTTGCTCAGGAGTAGTTCACTAATGCGTTGTCGCTGTTTACCTTTACGTTTTTGTCTTTCTGATCTTGATAGTTGTGGATAAATTCTTCATAGACAGAATATGTTCTTTGTGGATCTTCTTGGATGAAGATTTGGTGCTGGGGTAGGCAGATTTATGAAGCTGGTAGGAAATAAGCAAGACATTTCCAGAGATATTTTGCCATAGAAAAGCATCAACCGGGAGTGACGTTTACCCTACATCGCGACATCTGTGAACCAGCCTTTGTGAAAAAAGGTTTAAATGGTGATAAAAATCGAATCATGATCTCATTCCTGTGGTAATCTGTTCTTTTGGTAAAATCATTGTTATTAACTTTTCTATATTTAATGCTGTTCTATACTCAGCCACAGATGCTTTTTCCCCAACACTTCTCCTATTTAGACTATGGTTCTGAGTGACTGGGAGCTGGGTTTATCACAGTAAAGAAAAGTATGAAGCGGTTGTCTATTTACCTCTGTAAGTCAATAGAAAAATGGGCTGTCGTTCTTGTGCATTAATTCTCATGTACATGAATCGAGACGAAATCAAAATTGTGATCTTGTTCAGAGAAATAAGACCCACCGCTAAGCTGAATTTAATGCAAGATAAGACCAGTGGCTTGGAAATCAGCTTTACATTTTGGTGATTTTTTGATCTTCTATTTTTTTTTTTTTTTTTTTTTTTTAGATGATCATATCACGTAGCGGCATGGTCCTGGATGTTTACAAAATTCTTTCAGCTTTAATTCCTGTCTTTCTTGTCATGTCCTTGTTTACTGTCTGGCGTATAAATCCAGGAGGCACAGCAAATTAGTCCAAGGACATGGATGTTGCAATTCAGTGAACATCTGCCGTTTCGTTCGATGGAGAAGGCAAACTGCACTCTCTTATCTTTGAGCTGATATGTGAGCGCTTGACTACTGCAAGATATTTCATCGGAGGGGCTTAGGTGTTAATACATACTGTAAGCGCATGTTCTGTACACTGTCTTTAAGTTAAATGTCAACTTTTATCATGTTTAAACAACAGCGCGCGGCAGCTTCATGGTTAATTTGCAGAGCCGCTAATGCTTCGTGCTCTCCCTGATAGTCTATTATTAATGGACAACCCTTTTAGTTCACACAATGCATTTTAAATCCCACGAACA